ACATACATACATATACGTACATACATACATATACGTACATACATACATATACGTACATACATACATACATACATACATACATACATACATACATACATACATACATATCTATATATATATATATATATATAGGAGCCAATCCGCAACCTCGGCGGCTCGCAAGGTCGCGATGCGCCAGTCAGATGGACGGCCGCGTGGGGGCTCTCAGACGTCTCCGACCTCCTACGAAGGTTATGATATGGGAGTTTGCGGAAACAAGGGGTACCTTATTTTGGGGTCCCTATAATGAGGATCCTATTATTTAGGGTACTATATTAGGGTCCCCTATTTTCGGAAACCCCCATATGAATTATAAGTATAACGGGGCCTGTTTTAAAATAAGGCTTACTCGATTATACTACGTGGGCTCATATATTATAAACCCCACACCGTATAGGTATAATGAAAGGCCTTTCTGTTTAAGAGAAGGGTTACTCCATTATGAGGAAGGTGATAAGTTACAAGGTTAGGACATTATGATCATAAGGTGCCTTTATAAAGGTTTAGGGTTTAGGGTTTTAATGATGAGGGTTTAGGGTTTTATGGAGTAGGTTTAGGGTGTAGGGTTACATTATAAGTGAAGTATGAGGGTGCTTTAGTGCCCGCCGGACTGGTGATCAGACAACCAGGCTGTAAGATACCCAGAACTTCCAAATCCTTTAGTTGAGGAATAGACATTAAACTATAATATGTTAGGATCCCTGAATATGATTTAAGGTGCATTCTTTAACTATGGAATTTTGGAAGGTTTGGGTCAGTAAAAGTTGAATAGTTTTCATAAGATAGATATATAAGGCCCTTAATTCTTACAGACTGTTCCTCTTTGAATGATACAAAAACAGACGCAGCAACTGTTGAGGTGGCTTTGGCTACGTGACGCTGGACTCTCCGCAGGCAACAGCTCACACGGCCTGTACTGTATAGGTGTACAATCTAAACCCTGAACGCTAAACCCTAAACCCTAGAAGCCTAAACCCTCAACCGAGGGTTTAGGGCTCAGAGTTTCGAGCGGAAAGTGTCTAAGGACTTTAGGAAGGACCCCTAATAGGGACCCTTAATCCCATTATATAGCCAGGTAGTCTCCATATTAACCCCAATAACCTACAAGGGTCCCTACTAAGGGTCCCTAAACCCCTAAACCCCTAAACCCCTAAACCCCAAGCCCTAAACCCTAAACCCCTAAACCCTAAACCCTAAACCCTAAACCCCTAAACCCCCCTATTAAGGGTCCCTCCTAGAGCACTTAGAGTGGTGGAAACGTTCCTGTCGGAGGCTGCCGAGCTGTGCCTCGCAGCGCCGCAGGTCATCGATGGCCGTGCTGGGGCCCCGGAACATCGGGTTTAGGGGTTTAGGGTTTAGGGGTTTAGGGTTTAATTAGGGTTTAGGGTTTTAGGGTTTAGGGTTTAGGGTTTAAGGATTTAGGGTTTTAG